GCTATCCTATTTGCAGACAAAGTGAATTACAAGCCAAGATTGATTGAGAGATAAAGAAGGTCACTACATCCTTGTAAAGGGAACAACCCAGAGGAAGAGATAACAGTCATAAATATATATGCTGCAAATACCAGTGCATCCAACTATATAAAACAAATATTAACAGGCATGAAAAATCAAACAAGCACTAATGCAATTGTATTGGGGAATCTCAATACCCCACTGTCACAAAAAGGGATCCACTAGACAAAAAGTCAACAATGAAATATTAGAACAAATGGACTTAGTAGATGTCTACAGAGTATTCCACCCCACAACATTAGAATACACATTCTTCTCAGCTGCACATGGGTCATTTTCATAAATATACCACAAAATAGACCACATTCAAAGAAAATGCTTCAGTAAATGCAAAGGAATTGAAATTATCCCATGCATATAGTGCAGTGAAATTGGAAATCAATGGCCAAAGAAACCACAAGAACTTCATAAACCCGCTGAAATTAAAAAGCACTCTCCTGAACAACCAGTGGGTCACAGATGAAATTAAAGAAGAAATTAGACAGTTTCCACAATAGAATGATAGTGACAGTACAACATACCAGAATTTATGGGACATAATGAAAGCCATCCTAAGACGTAAATTTATAGCAGTGAATGCCCATATCAGGAAAACAGAGCAAGCGCAAATGAACAACTTAATGGTGAATCTGAAACTTCTAGAAAAAGAAGGGCAGGCTAAGCTAAAAGCTCACACAAGTGCAGAAATTATAAAGATCAGAGCAGAAATTAAGGCACTGGAGACTAAGAAAACAATACAAAGAATCAATGAATAGAAGAGGTCATTCTTTGAAAGACTGAATAAAATTGACAAACCTTTATACAACTATATCAAAAAAAGAAAAGACTGAAACCCACGCAATTAGAAATGAAAAGGCTGAAATCAGAACAGACCCTGCAGAAATCCAGAAGATCATCTACACCTACATTGAAAACTTATATTTTAATAAGATGGAAAATGCAGAAGAAATGGACAGATTCCTAGAAGATATAAAAATGTGAAATAAAGTAATATCAATCAATGAAATCAAAGATGTAATTAAAAACCCACCAACAAAGAAAAGCCCAGGCCCTGATGGATTCACTGCTAAACACTACAAGAAACTTAGAGAAGACTTAACACCACTATCTCTTAAACTCTTTAGTGAAAGTAAAAGAGAAGCAGTACTCCCAACTTTACTCCTGGAAGCAAGCATTACCCTGATACCAAAACCGGACAAGGATCTAACTAAGAAAGAGAATTACAGGTTCATGTTCCTAAAGAACACAAATGCAAAAATCCTCAGTAAGGTGCTGGCAAAAAGAATGCAGCAAATCATCAGGGAGATTATACATTATGACCAAGTGTGATTCATCTCAGGGATGCAGAGGTGGGGCAGCATACGTAAATCAATAAATGTAATATACCATATCAATAGAACAAAAGACAAAAATCATCTGATCATCTCAATAGATGCAGAAAAAGCTTTTGACAAAGTTCAGCACCCATTCATGACAAAAACCCTACAGAAAATTGGAATACATGGCGTTTATCTCCATCTGGTAAAAGCCATAAGGAAGGATGGATGCAACACAAGACCATACTCATAAGTGAAATAAACCAGGTGCACATGTACAAACATGGTATTATCTCCCTAGTGTGAGCTGAAAGAGTAAATATGATCCAACAATGTACAATGTATATCATAAAATGAGAAGAAATTGTTCTGAAGGAAAGAGAAATTGGAAAGAAAGGAGGGAAAAGCAAATATATATATGATAGGGTAATTATACCACTAATTTGTCAGTTAATTGAAAGGAAAGGTTTGTGCTACTATTGGACAAGTTAAAGATAACAATACCACTGTTATCCTCCTATTATCTTGAAATTTTGTTTGAAATTTTGCTTTATTTTTCCCTTTAAAATAGTAATTAAAAAAATGCCAGTATCAAGGAGGGGAAAAGAGTGCTGGTTTTCAGCCCACAGCTCCTGTGAAAATGTCTTAGGACTTGCCAGGCGTGGTGACATATGCCTGTAATCCCAGCACTCTGGAAGCTGAGGCAGGAGGATCATTTTGAGTTCGAGACCAGCCTGGGCTACAAAGTGAGCTCAAGACCAGCCTAAACTGCATAGTGAGAACCCGTCTCAAAAAGACAACAACAAAAAAATGTCTTAGGACTCAAACCGTGTCTAGGTGAGTTCAAGATAATTGGTTGAGAAGATAGAGTTTGATTTATTTTTTCCAGTTTCAGATTTTAAAAGCCTCTGAGCCTTCCACTGGTGGTGATACGGCGACTCTGCTTACTGGGCTGCTTCACTTGAGTCCTGGGTCCCTTTCTGTCCCAGCGACTGATTTCAGCTCAGGTGTTCTTTGGGAGACTTTTATTTATTTATTTATTTATTGGCTTTTCTCCGGTACCAGGAACCGAACTCACGACCTTGCGCATGCCAGGCAGGCGCTTTTGCCGCTGAGCTAAATCCCCAGCCCCTTTGGGAGACTTTTAGACTGTCCCCTCAACTGGATGCAGGCTTAAGCACTATCTGCTGAGGCTTTTGCCACGTCACAGGGAGCTCAGTGGGCAAGAGCCTGGCTCTGCTCCACCAAGCACCGTGCTTCTGTGCCCAGTGTGAGCCTGGCACGCACGGTAGGCTCAGTAAGTTGGACCCCAGGGCATTGTGGAACTGAGTCACTGATGGAGGGGTGGGCACAGCGTTTTCTTCCTTTGGGCAGAGAACCCTACAGTGGCTGCTTGGGGGAAATGGGGCTTGTTGAACACAGGCGTCAGCTTAGCAGTGGGGATGAAGGAGGGACCCCTCCTCTAGTCACCCTAGCAGGCACAGCTGTCTCAGGCGGGTAGGCCCCTATGGACTTCAAGCTGGCTTCCTGGAGGAGAAGGGGAAGAGGAACCTGGGGTGTGTGTGGGGGTCTTAGCTGCACGGTCGTAAGGGGAACCGGGAACGGCTCCCCGTGGGTGTCCTCCATCATGAAACCGAAACAGCAGTCTTGCACAGGGCGCCCGGTTCAAGTGCCAGACGAGTGACGGTGAGTTAACACGCAGCCGTGCAGGGCCACCGCCGCTGGCGCACGGTGACAGCTAGCCAGGGGTTACGAGAATGCAGCCTCCTGCCTTCAGCCCAGATAGACGTGTTTGCCTCCTCAGTCCCAGGTCTAAACCTTGACCAGCTGCAGCCTTTGGGGGCCGCTGACTTGCCCTGAGGGCTCCACAGGTTTTTCTCGTCGATCAGTCACTCACTTCCTGAAGGGATCCTGCTGTCTCTCAGGGAAGACACCTTGTCGGGCGGACAGCCCTCTGGGAGGTAAGCGCCCCTGGGGTCGCTGTCTGTCTCGGCACGGCAGCGCGGGACGACCGGGAAGCCCCTTCCGGGGAGGGTGGGTGGGTGACGAGCGGGCGCACGCGCTCCGCACACAGCCCGGGCGTGCCAGTCGGACACCTCCCGGGACCCCTGCCCCACCCGCCCCTCGCGTAGGGCCCCGGCCCGCGGGAGGCTCCGCCGCACCCCGGCCAGACTTCAGGAAGCCGCGGCTTCCGCACGCGGGCGGGGACTTCCTGCCCCTCGAGGTTGGCGCCTCCGGCCGCGGCGAAGCCTGCTCCTGCGCGGGGCTCCTGCGCCACGC